CGTCGAGTGTGTGGCTTCAGCGACGTTAGCTGCGTCGGCCTCATGAAAAGGCTCTCCGGTTTCCTCCGTGGTGGGACGTGTGGGCTTTAACTCTTAGAAAACTGAGAACGGAGAGGGTTTTACCCAAACGGTTGAAACTGCCTCCCTTCTGGGTTCCTACCATGGAAGGAAACCCTCTCACCCACAGGGACGATCTGAGACTCTCACTTAGCTCAGCGGGTGGGGCGACCGACGTGACCATGAGTCTCAGACCCGGGGGTGCAGGTGTGTCCAGGTGGGTGCCCGTAGCTCAGACCCGCACGGCTGGTGAGGGCCCGGGGAGGCTGGGTCTTGAAACAGTTCGTTATTGGGGTTACCCAAGGGATAGCCTCCACTGCAGAGTTCTTCGGAGTGTGGATTAGCGAAGAGACAACCGGGTCCTGGAGTCCTCTGCCCGGAGGTGGTGGAGATGGAGGACCGAGTCGCGCAGGGATCACTGAGCACACGTCCTTCTCCCGTGCTTGGGGCCGTTCACTCTGTCTTACGGAGGATGTTGAGCTCGTGGTTGTTACAGACGCGTGGCAACTAACTCGGGGTCGGCTGGCCGGTCTCAGCTCCCACCAGCCGGTCTCAGCTCCCACCGGCCGGTCTCAGCTCCCACCGGCCGGTCTCAGCTCCCACCGGCTAGCGTGCCCTGACGTCATTTGGCCGTTTCTCTAAATATTCAGTGTGAGATAAAAGACGGGACTCATTTTTAGAATTACGGTCCCGCAGCTATCATATTAGATACTAACAAGTAACTTAAAAGTAACCCCTTGGGGTCGTGGAGCGAGCCGTGGGCTCCTGCCCGGCCCCCCTCTTCACCGCCGCTGACTCACATGGTGCCTTTACGCTTTGCTCCCCGCGTTCAGCCGGGATGAGGCCTGACGCTTCCCCAGATCCTTCGGGTTGCCACGTGCCACCTGGCTCCTCGTCTGTCCCGTGTTCCCTGTGTTTTTCTCAAATTGCTGCTGAATCTGGGGAATTGCTGGGATTCTGGCTTCATGTTCGGCCACGTGGTGCGTGCCCTCGGGTGGCAGGCCTGTGTCTCTCTCCCTGGTCACTGACGAAATGGCCTGAAGGTGGTTTTCAATTGTAAATCGAGAGGCTCGGTTTGAAGGCCTGGCTTGTGTCCGCACTGCCCCCTTGGTCCTGGGATCTCAAGGGGGTGGGGAATGGGGCTCCTCCAGTGGCCCGAGAGGAGGTGGGACGGCTCGAGAGCCTGAAGCACCGTCGTCAGCAGTGAACTGTCCCCAGGCCACCCGGGTTCTGAGTTCTGGAGTACACCTGCAGGTCTCAGTATTTCTTCCCGCAGGTCGGGGGGCGCTGAGCTTCCAGGTCCCCGGTGCGGGTGGAGACGCAGGACCGTAGCAGGGAGCGGGGATGCTGAGCTGCATCTGCGGAGACTGGAGACCGTGGGAGTCGGCGATGGGTCTGCCCAGAGAAGGGTGTCCTGTGTGCCCCAGGGGGCTCCATGAGCAGGGCCTCCCGCGGGTGCTGCTGCGCACCTGGCTGCTCATGAAACCCTCACACTGTAGACAGGCCAGCTCCCGGGTGGGCGGGCGGCAGGGGCCGGTGGGAAGAAGCCCTCCCTGTGGGTCCCCCTGGCCGACTTCTCAGATGCAGCCGAGGGGGTGGGCAGCCGGGCAGCCAGGGAAAAGCGTGGCCCCGGTAGTAGAGGCAGACAGAGGAAAACCCTGAGTGACTCTCCCATTTTGGATCACAGTGTGTAGGTGGCTTTGCTCTGTGAACAGTGTTTAAAAGAACCCTTCACACTTTTTCTATGTGAAGGAAACACAAAAGTTCAGTAAAAAACGAAAGGCTTTTCTCATGGGAAACGGTGGTCACAGCAGCCCCGAGAGCAGGGTGATTCAAACCGGGAGCGCCCGCATCTTTTCCACCTGGGGAGGCCGCGCCCACGCACCGCAGACATGGGGAGCTATGACTCGCTTCCCTGTGTTATCACGGGAGGCGTCCCCAGCCAGCGGGCACGGCTGGCTCCTCACTGGCAGACAGGCCAGCCTGAGCCCGAGCCCGGCGAGCCCGTGGGGCCACCCTTCACCTGGCTCCTGCCCCCAAGGGTGTCAGTGATAGCAGCCACGTGATGGCCACCGCAGGCACTCTGCACGGACGGGCGGACCTGGACCGGGCAGCTGGCCAGCCCTCGGGTGGTGGGGTTGATGTTAGTAGAACATGCTCTGATTCTCATGCACAGGCCCAACGGTCAGCATTTAAAAACCTTTTGTTTTGCAAGAATTCCAGATTCACACAAAGTGGCAGAGATCCGTGTCCCCTTTAGCCAGCGTCCCTGTAACGACACTGTCGACAGCAGGGCCTACATGGGCACCGTGTGTGTGTGTGTGTGTGTGTGTGTGTGTGTGTGTGTGGTGCTGCAGAGGAGACCACGGTACAGAGGATGGGCCGTGTCCCACCTTTTCTTAGAACCTAACTGATCTCCCAGCAGCCGAGCGAGGTGCTGTGACTGTCACTCCCATTTTACAAGGGAGAAAACTGAGCAAGAAGTCAGGAGAGAGATGTCATTCTCTGGAAGCCGCCGGGTGCTGGTCCTGAGCAGGCTTTCTCTAGAAGAGCAGCCTCGATGGCTCTGCAGGGTCAGCCTCTGTGGCCTCGGACCTTCCCCTGGACCCTGCACCAGGCCAGGCCCGGCCCAGCTGGCGCCTCTGGGGAGGAATGTGTTTGAGACTTTTCAAGTTAAAGGCGGCTTTAGCCAGCCCTGCGCCGATGACCGTTCCCAGTCATGTCCTCCACGTGCATGACTCGTGTTGTGTTTTTGAATTTGTTCCTCACATGATGCTCACAACACCACGTCCCACTGTTTATGAAATCACTAGGTTTTACCTGACAGATGACCACAGCAGGCCCCAGAGTGGTGAGCACTGTTTGCCGCAGGTGACTCTCTGTCGGACAGTCACCGATCTCCGGAGTGTCTTCGCAGACCCCAGAGGGCAGGCCTTTGGGATGGGCCGGGCCTGGAGCTAGGGCCTGGAGCCACGCTGCCTTTAATAAAATGCAGGGTGAGGAATCAGGACATGTAGAATCTAGAGATTTTCAGCAGTTCCTGTTGGTGGCATGAAAGTATCTACCTTCGTTGTTTTCATTTATTTGTTTATTTATTTATTTTTTTAATCCTCACCCCAGGATATTTTTTCTTTTGATTTTTAGAGCGTGTGGAAGAAAGGGAAGGGAGGTGGGGAGGGGGGAGAGAAACATGGATGTGAGAGCCGGGTATTGAACTTGCAACCCAGGTACGTGCCCTTAAGCCCAAGACTTTCCGACGGGCAGGCCAATGCTCCAACCACTGAGCAACACCAGCCACGGCATGTGTGACTTCTAAAAAATTGAATTAAGCTGAAGGTGACTTGGAAGCACGGACATGTCTGTTGTATTGAGCCAGCAAAGCCCGAGGCTGGGGCTGACGTTCCTGACGGCAGAGCTGGTGCGTGGCTGCGAGGAGGGAAGAGGGGTGGCCGCGAGTCACTGCATCGCCCAGCCGCCGGCTGGCACTTTTTGCCCGAATCAGAGATACACTCGCACTTTATGTGAAGCTGCCAGATTCATGCTGAACATTTCCAGGCAAAAACAGTAATTTTAATCATCTATGATAGTATTTATTTTGTGAGCCATCCTAACTTTAAATTGTGCTCATGGTGTGTGGCTAACTCTCAGCGAGACAAGAGCAAATTATTCGCACAGATTCATTCAGCAACATTCAAGTGCAAAGCATCTAGAACAGTGGTTCTCAACCTTCCTAATGCTGCGACCCTTTAATACAATTCCTCATGTTGTGGTGAACCCCAGCCATCAAATTATTTTCGTTGTTGCTTCATAACTGTAATTTTGCTACTGTTATGAATCGTAATGTAAATATCTGATATGCAGGATGTATTTTCATTGTTACAAATTGAACGTAATTAAAGCATATTGATTAATCACAAAAACAATATGTAATTATGTATGTGTTTTCCGATGGTCTTAGACGACTCCTGTGAAAGGGTCGTTAGACCCCCCAAAGGGGTCGCGACCCACAGGTTGAGAACCACTGGTCTAGAAGATACATTGCCCATATCCCACGAGTGAGGAGTTAACTTTCCTCCGTTCCTCCCACCCCCTCACCGTCTCTCACACTCTTTTTTTTTTTTTTTAAAGTTTCTGGGAATCAGATGGAGCTAACTTTTTATTTCTTTTTTTTCTATTTATAGTAAATGATTGTAGTCTTGTTACCTAGGTCAGCAGTTTATACACAGTAATACAACATAGAAACAGCACATTGGTACTCTAGATGGAGGTGCTGTCTTGGGGTCTCGGGGCACTGACGTCTGCCCAGAGTCTGTCTGGGAGCTGTGGGGAGCTGTAAGCAGTCATGAATGTGTCCCCTCCCCGGGCCCCTTCGTTCCTCGTGTGGAAGCCCGGTGCTTGGGTGGCTCCTTGCCTCCGGCCATGGTGCGGGACACAGAGCAGGTGACGCGGGAGGTCACCCGGGAAATGCCCACCGGGGAGCTCTCCCATGGTTGCTGTTTAGTGTCACTCAGAGGCAAGCCTGCGTTTCGATGGTGGTGGCACCCTGTGACTGGCACTTCTCTCATTCTCGCGCTCACGCGTATTTATCCCACTTCTCTTGGTCAAGTTACAGGATGGAATGTCTGCAGAGGTGACTGGGATGGTGCTGAGGGAGAAATAGGGTCTGAACAGGCGTTCCTCTGTGGCTGGGAAAGACACCCCGTTAGACCTGGAGTCGAGCCACTAGGGAGGTTCGGTCGTCCACATGGGCCTGTCGCGAGGGAGGAAGGTGTTGCGAGGTCCTCCGTGGGAAATGTTTCCATCTTGTTCAGGAGCCTCATTGCGAAGACCCACCAGGCCCTGGCCACGTGCCCCCTGTGTCAGGACGTGACCTCACCGACGGGGCGAGTGGGCGCCGTGGGGCGCGGTGTGCGCGGGTCTAATGCTCTGCTGTTCTCTTCCAGCCCATCTCTCCCTGCCCTCGACTGGCAGCTGCCGTCACACTCGGGGCCCTACGAGCTGAGGATCGAGGTGCAGCCCAAGTCCCACCACAGAGCCCACTACGAGACGGAGGGCAGCCGGGGGGCCGTGAAGGCGTCAGCGGGGGGACACCCCAGCGTGCAGGTAACGGCATGCTCACCTGGGCTTCTCGGGTCCATAGGCAACTTTGTGGCAACCGCTAGCATCTCTTCCTTTTCTCTCTTTAAAAATAAGCTATCATCTCCCAACTGGTCCAGCGAAATTCTTTGTGTGCCTGGGGAAGGCCTGGCTTCTCCCCATGCGCTTAGAGGCTGAGGGACCCCGTGCAGCTCTTTTTGCTGCTGCTGGTGGGTCAGCTGCAGTCACGGTGGGGCAGGGGCCTCTGCCGGCAGGGCTGGTGCCACCCCCCTCACAGCCCTTTGGAGGAAATAGGATTTAGGATTAGAGCTGGTGTCCGGGGAGCACCTTGGTCACCGTGACAGGGACAGGGGTCACCTGCCGCCCTAATCTTGTCCCCCTGCTCCCCCCGGGGAGTGGGTCTGCAGGCCCCGGGGGACTGTGGGCAGGCATCGGCGTTTCCCGGGGTCACACGTCACCTAAGAAGCTGTAAGTCCCCTCCCTCCCCCGCCAGGCTCCTGGTGTGACCATCACGTTGGGGGTGGGTGGGCCTCGCCCCAGACCTCCAGGCCATGCAGCAATGACTAGAACGTTTCCCCGAGTCTGTGCCCACCACGGCCACGCCCGGCCCGCTATCGGGATGATGCCAGCGGGCGCCCGTGTTAGGCTTTATTCGCTGAAGTAAATAAGAGCTTGGGAGGGAGGAGGGCACGCAGGCCAATGTGTCGGCCAGCACGACAATCAGCACCATCGGGCAGGCGCGGGGGCGGCACTCAGCCCCGCGGGGACGGTAGGTGGCACTTGTGGCCATGCACTTGGCACCGGTTAATACCTGCCTGGTTAGCTGCTTGACTCGGCGCAGCCGGTGACATTTTAAGTTGCCGCCTCCGGGGAGAGAAAGGTCAGACACGCCTACGTCCAGCCGAGCTCCACGGCCGCAGGCATTTAGCTCCCTTTCTGGCCACAGTTTTCATGGACGAACGTGGTTGTGGCTGAACGGGAGAGACGTTCCAGCCGCGAGAAACAAGGAGGGGCATGAGGATAAAGCAGCGAGAACTCAAAGCCCTCCCGCTGCCTGTGAATGCCGGCGAGAGACGCGGGGGATGCGGTGCGGCCCGTGGAGCCTCCCTCACCGGCGGCTGAGGACTGTCCAGTGGAGGGTGTCCACCTTCACCCCTTAAGTGTCCTGGGCGGTTGGGGTGTCACCATCAGTATGACAGCTCGGAGCACTGACACCTTTTGGAGGAGCTCTAAACATTTAAAATAGCCTCAGAACTTAGTTCAAATTACAGAACAGCAAAGTGGGAGGGGCTGGCTCTGTGTTTAAACAGAAGGGACAGCCCCACCCCCTTCGGTGCCCAAACACCAGGGTCAGGACGTCTGCCAGCGTCTCCTCGTGAGGAGCTGGTCATTGAGGATTTCTGACCCCTCAGTGCCAGCGTGAGTTTGTGTCTGTGCAAGTGTGAGGCAAGCGTGAAAAAGAAGGGATTGGGGGGTGGGGTCCTTTTTCGGTTGGTGGACCACAAGTCAGATAAAAACTGAGTTTGCACACAGTTATAAAGCAAACGAAGAAACGCTCGCAGCGTGGCTGTGATGGCTCAGTGCCCCCAGCCCTGCCCTGCACGGCACCATGTTGCATGTCCTCCGACACCGGGACCCACACCCGCACCCTCGCCTCCTCCAGAAATGGCCACGATCGCAGGGCCTTAGCCCGACGTGACCGGTCGCTGTTCTGATCAGAACTGTGTCACCACGGATCCCGGGAGAGCCACCCAGCGAACCCGGGAGCTCCCGCTGGACAAACACGCTGTCCCGGGACCTCCAGCGGTCAGACCTTCCACATCGCCGAGAGCTTGTCGGGGAAGTGAGCCCGGGATCTTCTGCAGGAGGGGACGCCCAGGTGCCTGAGCGAGGACGCAGCCGTTTCTCCAGCGTCAGTGACGGGGGGAGCTGTCCCCACAGCCTCCCTGCTCTGCATCCGAGACGGCGATGACCTCCTTTCCCGACGGATGAGGGGACAGCGTCGGCCGGTGGGGTGGGGTCGAGGAGTGTGCACGGCACTTTCCACATTCAGGACGCTTCCTAGACTCTCTAGTCACCGACAGCCTAGGAGGCGTCCTGGGGAGTCGGGGGCTGCTCACTCCGCCCCCC